TTGAACAAAAAGCACAATAAGATTTCCCAAGGGCCCAACTTAATTAATAAAAGCGCGCATTTCGTTTCTCTTCATTTGCCTTTTATTTAATGAACTGTGCAAACTAAGGTCAGTCTGGCTCGCATTCTGGTTCGCAGCCGGGTGGCTGAGCCAGCGTTGTGCACTCTTGTGTCCTGCAGGCTGCAGAGAAGGTGTCGGAGCTGAGAAGGCGAGTGTGCTGTTCATGTTTTTGTACTGTGGTAAGGCGGTAAGATGCAGATAGTTGCTGAATGCGCAGTAGCGGTCATTGCCGATGACTTCAGGCAGTTGTCACTGCAGACTCCTCTTTCGTCTGTTTCTTGGTTGCTGCCTCTCGCGTGGGACCACAGCAGATCCCGTCTTGTTTGGGTAAGGTCTGCTCACCCGATGCTGGACGAGGTTGAGATTCCCATCTCACCGTGTGCTATTGGAAGAGATACGTTGCTACAGCCTTCGTTTGTGCGAAGTTGGAGGCATCCATTGACTCCGCTGGGCTTGGAGTTCCCTTTCCCCTTGTGGCCACCCGAGTGACATGTGTCAACGAAGCGCTGAACCATCAAGTTTGCTTTCTCGGAAAGTGGCTTCCTGAGAACTGCCACATCACCCGTTGCGCCCCGGCCGAGGCTGTCGTCCAAATACCCGCAGAGACCGAGGTCAGATCTGCCTTTGTCGAGTAGTGCAGATTGAGTCCATGGGATGCTCCGTAACCAGAATCGAGCCTTTTTGTCGTCATGAGTGGCGTTAAGGTTGCTGCAATTGGATGGCACCCATGTGGTATCCGTGCAGGCAGCAACACTTCAACTGAGGGGTGGTGTGTCAATGCCGCGTGGATCTTACTTATCGTTCTTTGGACAGGATCGGGAGGGGAAAAGTCATCGAGCTGCTTCTTGCAAAGCCGCAGTGCGAAGCTGTTTGTTTTATTCCTTCGCCATGCCAGCCAGTACGCAGCATGTTCAGCGGTACTGCTGTCCATGCAAGACAGGGGATGTTTGGATGCAGGATTTTCAGGCATGGGATGCATTACGAATCTGGCCATCACGGTGCAAACGCATGTCAGATGAACAGTTAGCAGAAGTAGCACGACGCAGTCTTACTAGCGTATCTTACGAGGCTGCTTGCCCTCTCGATCTCCGGACGTGGCGTCGATCTTGGACGAGCAGAATGCTCTGAATGTTCCCATCTGTGAGAAGCTGACAGGCAGACCATCGCTTTCCAACGTGGCAGAAGCTTTGCAGATGGGAGTCAGGCACCGAGCCGCAGAATTTGCAGTCGCTTCAAGTGTCACCAAGTGCTCCAAGGTCCGGCACTTGCAGGCACTGGAAGCAGGGCATGGCATGAGAGATATCATGAGAAGTGAAGAAGTTGTAGATCTCCTGGCCGGGTTTATGTTCTTGCACGGTTCAGGTCTCGCCAAGCGTCGCTGAAGTCGTTGGTGGGGGAGCTTAGCCCGTGACCTTCGGTTGACTGCATAGACTTTTCGACGGCCTTGGGCCATTCGTTCGCTTTCGTTCGTGGCGTTGATGATGCCATGATCTTTCATTCTGCTACAAGCACTTAAAAGGCCATCTTCGTTCTGTTCTCTCGACAGAATGTCCTGAAATCCGGAACGGGGTTCTATCCATGTCAAGCACTGGCTAAACTACACAAAGCTCACCCGTTGCTTGGCCTCACTGGGACTTCTGGCAAGATTCAGCTCAAACCTTTCTGCATGAAGCTTGGGTTAAACTCCTGGAAGGACCCATCTGCACGAACAAGACTTGGTCGCTGGAAGTGCAACTGCTTTTCTCAAAGAATAGTGGCTTGCGCATCCAGTTCGCGTAGTTCTGCCACTAATTCGACAAATAGGCGAGCAGAGGGAGACGAAACTGCAAATGATGTTCGCCTATCGCGACAGCGATCCGAACAATTCGGGCGCAGCTGTTATGAGCCCCCTAGACAGTAGGGATAGATGAATGGGTCTCGAAGACACCTCTTTTCGGGTTTTTGAGCTTCAGAAGGGCTCGATGGTCTGGCTCATGGTTTGGCCCAAGCTGCAGGCCAAGCAATCTGGAGAAGCAAGGCTCGAATCTAAGCCAACTCAAGGGCGAGCGGCTCTAGACTCTTGCAACTTTGTGAGAGGTGAACAAGGCGGATCTGTTCGTCTCGGTGCTGTGGGAAGGATTCCTCAACTCTGCTGTGCCGCGCTCAACAGTCTAGGTAACTCTATTGGTGATCTGTTCTCAGGGGAGTTGCCAAGGCCCAGCTCGAGTCCGTGGCAGCGAAGCGCCTTTGCAAGAAGGCTGTTTTGCCGAGGGCAGTAGATTGCTTATGGCACTGTAGGTTGGGGAAGCCGGTGGACATGCTCATCCTGCCCAAAGGAGAGGAGGCCCGGCGAAACCACCGCAGACACGAAATGGTTGGCTGAAAAAAGCGGACCTACAAGTCCTGCGTCATCGAACGCGAAAGAAACGACCATAATGGGGCACTAGCTGTCACTGTAAGTCAGTATCCTTACCGGTCTAGTATTATGCTGATTAGTATCTTGTGAAAACGACAGCAGCAGAAACAACAAGAACAACATAGAACAGCAATCCTTATGGTTGTAGTGCTGATGGTGGTGGTGATGGTGGCAGTGGTGGTAGTGGTGATGAGGAGTATGAAGCGCTGCTTATGGGGACCTCGGTCCGGGCGCTTTTATCTCCTGCGCATGTTTTTGTAGTTGTTAGTGTTAATGTGAAGTGCGATGTCAAAGCCATCGCATATACTGCTGAAGCTGTCTCAGATAGCCGGCATAGCAAGCCTACCAATGGCTACGCATGAACGCCCTCGGACGTTTGCGACTCGAGAGAGAGAGAGAGAGAGAGAGAGAGAGAGGGCGTCAACGGTGTCCCGAAGCCTGCCTCATCATGTTCAGCAGTCCCACAGCCGACAAGCACCAGGGCGCGTGCGCGCGCGAGGGGTGCGGGTAACCGTGTCCCTTTGGCTGTGTGGAAGAAGAGAGAGGTGGTGGTGGTGCTAGCAGGGGCGGCGGTTGTGGTAAGAGCAATAGCAGTAGCCGTTGCAGGGGATGGAACTTGTCATGTAAATTCATGTAGGGATATGTACATATGTATATATTACAAATATATGGTCAGGCGCTCCGCGGCTCCCCCTCCTCCCCCCCCATGGTCCATGGTCCAGGATCCCCCCCCTGTGGGTGGTGAAGGGAACCCTCTGGTGTGGTTGTGGGGTTTGGGGGTTTAGGGTTTAGCTCAAGCTTTTGAGGTTTGGGGTTTAGGGTTTAAAGTTAAAAGTTACAAGACTGCGAGTCGACAAGAGCTTAGGGAGGGTTTGGGGTGTAGGTTAGTTAACGTGACGGTTTATGTTCTGCTTCAAGCATAGAGCCTGCATTTGGGCGGGATTTAGGTTGGGTGTAAGGTTTAAAGCATTACGTGCAGGTTAAGGTTAATAGAAACAGGAACACGTCCTACCTTATAGGGTTTATGGCTTGCCTAGGGCTTGCGTAAGATCCCGGCCCGACCCGGCCCCTGGCCGCAACCGCACCCAACCGCCACGACCCCTCTCCGCACACGCCAGCCACCCCCCCCAACCCCTACCCGACCATGCCATTGGGGGGGGAGCCGGGAATGCCAGACGCTTGACCATACAAAAAAAGCATTTATGTGATTTATGTGTGTATATGTGTTTATAGCATGGTCACAACATGTCATTCATGTGCATATGCACGGAAGAGTGATTTGACATGGTTTCATGGTTCAACAGCGAATGCATCTGTTTGCAGGGAGCAGAGTCTCAAACGCCTGGGGCCAATAGTGAGGGGAGAGGCGCCCTTCTCATTGAGAATGTCAAACATTAAATAAACTAAGGTGGCGACACCTGGAGAGGCTGGCGCTCTACATGTTGTAGACGCTCTGTTCTCGAACAATTGAAGAAACTTCAAAAGTTCTTTTGGTTTAGATCCTCTGTTCCTTGTCTTGTTCTTCTGCTGACATAAAACATTCGGATCCTACGGCGGGGACGAGTTCGAGCGAACTACTCATCGATTCACATACTTAGGTGACTATGAGGTGGGCATAGCCAGGGAGTTCCAAGTTGATGCACGCAGGCGCATCAAACCGAAGCGCAAAGTCGGAAGATCGGATACAGTATGCTAGTCTTTTTCATCAACAATGTCCGTATCCGCGTTGGAAGAATCCTGGCCTCATGGCCTTGCTTACCAAACCATCTATGCTCAGCTCTTCCGGAGAACATGCTGCAGGCTGAGAGACAAACACAGAGTCGCCACGCTCGGCGTGAAGGACTTCACTCCGCAGGAGGCACAATGAGGCACAACTCAGTGGATCTGCACGAGAGCGACAGCAGGTGGATGCCTTGCCAAAGCGTGGGGCAGGTGTGGAATTTGCTCAGTGCGTGTGCGGCTTGGGACACTCAGCTTGCATGATGCTTGCATGTTAGTTACTATTAGCTAGTGTTTTCTTCCAAGCTCGGACTGCAACTCAGGCTGCAGCCCCACTTGTTACCGAATGCAGTGGTGCCAACATGTTAACTTTCCATTGACGTGGCATAAGTGCCAGGCCGAGGTACCAAGACATGGGAGGGCCTTCACACTGAAATGACGACTTCTCAACCAGTCCTGGCTTCTCCGAGTGCATCACTGTCGTCTCGACATGCATCGAAGCTTAAACTCCCACCAACAGCATTACAAGTGCTCAGGCGTCAAAGATGCACTGGCAAAATGCTAGCAGGACAGATAGATTCAAATTATTGATCACCGTTGGATTCGCTTTACGGACTGCTACAAGGACCTACCGGTTTCATATGAATTGGCTGACACCCGCACATGCCAGGTGCACTCATGTCCTGTCTGCCAGAGCAGAGATCAGATCCACCAGCAATGCTTTCGCAGACATTATAAGCGCTCAGACAAGCGCGCAGGCAAGCACATCACATGATCAAAGTTGCGTCGCAGCTGCTCGCGCGGAGTATCCTTGGGAAGTCGGCGGGGGCAACGCACTCGGTGGAACGGACCAGCGGTGTACTCGAGTCATCCGAAATGTGTCTTCTTGAACACGGACTCGCAAGTCGACAAGGTGTGGCTGGAAGCTGCTCGATGTGCATCTTAAATCTCAGCCTGGCGTGTTAAAACCACTGGCTGAATCTTCTCTACGGATCTTTGTCGATTTTCGAAAGCACAAGATACCCTGCATATGGAACACTATGTGTGGTTTGAAGCACGGCCACGGTATCGGTGATGTAGTGAGGGAGGCTGCGCTAGATCCGGTTTAGCGAAGAGGCAGCTGCACTTCATTGGCTCAGGTCTTTACTCCATATCGTCGTAGCCCGAGTGAAGTTGGACGTTTCTGCGGCTGCAACATGCTCGGTACTGCTCGGCCATGAAGCGAAGTCACGAAGGATGCTGCGCATTAGGGAAATCAGGTGACGTTCTCCTCCGTCACACGTGACTCTTTCGACCTAGGTCCCGGGCCGTCGCGCAACACATGGAGGTGCGAAAGCCGATTTTCAGACGCCACTTCTCCGGTCAGTGCGGCAAGTGGCCCTTGACACGGATGCCATTTCAGACCTGAATCAAAGAGCAAACCACGCGGATAGGGAATAGAATAGAGTCGACCTTGAGTCGAACTTGTCTGATGTGTTGTGGTGCAGTGCCACTGCGCAGGGACTTTGGCCAACGCTCCGTCGCACTGGCTGCAACTGGGCCAGGGTAGCAGATTGATCGATGATTCAGCTCTGCATGGACGGCTGCAAACAGGTTGTTTTTTCTCAACTTCGATTGACACTATGCGTGCTCCAGGCTTTTGTCAGACTGGCCACGGCCGCTCCGTCCGACTGATGATCCTCACGTGCCCACGCCCTTGGATCGAAAGGGCCCAGAAATCCGTATTGTTGCAGGACGGATTTCTCCCAGACAGCTTCTGGTTGAGGTACTTGCGATCGCGGAGCGGACTGGCCGAAGCAGTGCGCAGGCAGCCGCGCTGCCATAGGCTGGATTGCATTTTTCTGTCCACTGCAAGGTGCTGATACGCTGGGCTCTTCAGCTCGGGCTGGCGGTGGTGTTTCATGCTGATAGGCGAGACATGCCGGGCCGGGCCAGCAGATGTCTCGTGAGTCTCCGTTCTGTCAGGGTCCAGCATGTCCGCGAGAATCTGGGAGCATTGGGCTTCGAATTGCCTCGGACGGAAATGCAGCTAATCAGTGGGCGGCACGCTGAGCTGCCTTTCCCTGTTCTCGGTTGTTCCCATGTTTCATGCTTGAATGGTGCAGCAGAAAGCCCTCGAGCCTGAGTCTGAAGTGGGAGTTTGCAGTTATGCGCTCTTGTAGTGCAGAGATGCCAAGTTCACAAACCAAGCTCTCGGTGGGCTGCTTCAGTAAACAGTCTAGGTTGGTCACCCTGGCAGATCCCGTTCCTCCTGGTGATGGTTTCGTGCCTTGTCCGAGTCTTTACCCCATTTGCGGACATGCACGACACCATGTGAGCCCCGTTTTGCGGGAATTGCATACCGCCTTTTTCCAGACAGCCCCCGCCCACCCGATGAACACTCCCCGACCTCTTCGTTCACTGCTTGTGTACCATGTCTTTTGATTGATATGAGTGCCTTCCAAGGGGCATCCTTACGCTCCACGTGCTGTGGCGAGCGAGCTTTGACTCAGCTGTGGATGTGTCTCACCATTCCACAAACTCAGGGTCACGCAGGGCACCCTGGATGCCATAGGACCCTCGCTCGTCGCAAAAACGTCTCAGGTTGCTGGTCCGCAATTAGATGCCGTCCGTCTTTGCTTCACGAATCGCCTTGCAAGCCCGTAGCTGACTACTGGCTCGAAGCACGGTCTAGCAGTTGCATGATGACCGTCAAGTCTTCAGTGCTTTATGGGAATATCTTTGCCACGTCTGTGCCAATCAACGACTGAGCAAAGCCTGTTGAAGCGCCTACTGCTTTCACTGCGGATGTCATGGTTTGGTTGCTGAGCTGACAGACGGCACATGGTCCGCCTCTGCTCGGCGTTGTTCAGCCCAAACGCCCGAACAAAACTAAGCATCGGCAGCAAGGGAATGGGATGAGGCCGGGATGTGGTAGATGTGCAACCGGCGGCGGTGCGGAAGGGGCGGGGGATGTCATTGCTTGGGTGCTGCAGCATTTCCGCCTGGCCTCGGCCCAGGCGATTCCTTGTCCAGTAGCTTTTCATGAAGCCATGCCACAACTCATGAGTCCGAAGGGTGAATGTTTGGCGACAGCAACTTTATCTGACGATCCGATTTGAGACTGCACGCGCAAAATGGGTCATGTGATGACAGGGCTTCATCCAGGCTGTGTCTTCTGGGACCTTCCAGCTGCATGTGCATCACTGCATGTCTCCGAATTCAGATGTTGGCTGAATCAGCTTGCATGCAGCTTCGCAGCAGAGTAGACTTTTCTTGCCGAGATCTGGGTGGGGAGGGTGGGTGGGATCCAGGGGGGTGCTGGCAGGCATGAGAGGCGCTGTGCGTGCGTTCTGCTTGCGGACTACTTCCGATAGGAATCGCAAGGAAGATTTTTGCTGCTTGCTAAGCTTGTGTAGGCCGAGAATGTTTATGATCCAAGACCGTTGTTGCATCGGCGTGACAGGGGCAAAATGGCAAGCAACAAGGAGAAGGCCCGTCCAGGCAAGGGAGCCGTGCTTTCCTTTGGAGGTTGTTCTGTACCCATTGCTTGCGTGAATGGGATGCACGTGAGGCGACTGGAATTGCCCAACCTGCAATGACTTGCAGTTTGCGCGGAACAGCAGCTGCCGGCGGCGCATTGCTCAGACGCGAATGCTTAATCCGGGCGTGCATGGTATGTGCACCACCACCATGATCAGCCGGGCCGTAAACCTATTGACCAGTGCCTGATGGATCCATTGTATCCCATGGTCAGAACTTGCAGCTATTGTGTGTGGCTTGTGCCTGAGGTGCGGAGGTCCGAAGCCAACTCTCCAGAACATGGGGCCGGGCCGATCGAGCTTTTGTCAGCAGAAGTGGCTCCCTTGTGAGGGCTAGGAAAAGCGGGCACTTTGCGTCGAAAGGCCTGCAGCTCTTGGCTTCTATCCATGCGGAGGTCGGTGAGCTGCTGTTGTTGTACGATCAGATGTATTCGGCCGTGGTTGAAACACATGTTCTATCTGCTAGCCATCTTGCTCGCAGCTCCACTTCTTACACTGATTTCACAGAGCCGAAAGCCCAAAGTCGAAGATTCAGCTTCCCCAGAGCATTGCACATGCAAGGGCACAATTCGAGTCTCCGGGGCACTTGCCATGGTGTTGCGCTGTGTGGTGGTGGACTGCGGTGGAGTCACCCATCCAGACTCGGGTTTGAAAGAGGTGCTTGGCTGAGATGAATGTGGAGCCATCGGTGTAATCCCATTGGTTGCGAAAGCAAGTGCACTCGGGTCAGAATAGTGCAACCCCAGCCGATGTTTCTGCACATCTGTGCAGATGAAATTAATGTTGATAATTAATGGGGTGTGTACAGAGAAGCGTCATTCAGCAAACCCGGGCCGAAGTCAGCAACTCCAGTCAGCAAACCCACGCCTGAATGTCCAAATCAGGAGGGCCGAATGTCGCAAACAGCAGGGACGCATGCCAAAGAGAGGACAGCCCCGATTCAGCAACATTGAAGTTCGAAAATGCAAACCACATGCAGCAAACATTTTGCAGTGCACCTGCCGCACTCATGGACATGGCTTGCCCCCTGGTCCAAGCCATTGGGTTTGGCATTTCTCGGAAGGACATTGAAACAACGAAGTTCCGGCTAGTCAACCCACCGTTAACCTGAAAGCCCTAGCTTATGCTCTAAACCCCAAATTGGGCCCCATGCACGATGCACATGCCTTGGGCTGCTGCGGCCAGCGCCTGACTGACGGACGACCAGAAGTGGCGCTAACCGCGGCAGCCCAGGCGGAAGTCCAGCAGCAAAGCAGCGCATGTGCATCGTGCATGGGGCTTTAGAGCATAAGTTAAGGCTTTCAGGTTCACCCTGGCTGGACTAGCCGGAACTTCGTTAATCCAATGTCCTTCCGAGAAATGCCAAAGCCAATGGCTTGGACCAGGGGGCAAGCCATGTCCATGAGTGCGGCAGGTGCACTGCAAAGTGTTTGCTGCATCTGGTTTGCAAGGGTGTTGGCTGTTTCGGGCTGCGGTGCCTCCAATGCGGGTTGCGGTGTTTGCTGAACTCGCCTGCGCTGCTCGTGACTTCCTCTGTGCTGTTTCCCGACTCTGCCCACGCTGTTGACTTTTTTTGCTGTCTCCGGCGCTGCCCAGTGGTGTGCAGCCATTAGCTGCAGCTTCAGCTCATTAATCTAGCAAGTGTTTGCCAGGCAGATCCCCGCAAAACGATCGGCGTCCGGTAAAGTATGGCGATCATCAGAAGCGGTGTGGGTTAGTCACCAAACCCTCACTTATACAGGAAACGGTGCATCGAATTCGTGCCCGTGATCACTACTCGTGGGGCGTGGGGTTTGTCGACATTGTTTGGCGGCGGAGTTTATCTTTTTGCAGTTGATTGAGGTTTTAAGTTTTAAGTTTTAAGGCTGATGCTTAGGGTGTGTGTCTTTACCTCGGCAGCCTTTGACGACTCGGTTGACTCTTTTGCTTTGCTAGACCATTGGTGGGCTGCTGGGTGTGGCAAGGGTAAAGAGCTCAGCCTGTAGGGTTTGCAGTGGTTTCGTGTCGGCCGTCTAGGGTCTGCCGGTTTCTTTTTCCAAGATTCTCGATGTTTGGCTGCACCGAGAGTATGCGAGAGTTCACGAACAAGCGTTTAGTAATGCTTTTAGCGAGCTCAGTCTTGCTGGTCTCGGTGGGGTTGGGTTTCGGGGGTTGAACTTCTCTGAGTATCGTTTCCGATGCGTTTTAAGGTGACTGTGGTAGTGTGGCTTTGCAGTCCCCGCTTTTGTCATCTGATCTGGTTCTCGAACCTGGCATGGACTTCCGACCATGTTACCGACAGAGCCCTACACGGGCGTGTCGTCAAGGAGAGATGAATGTATTTCTCAGATGGGTGAAGCAAGAATGGGCGGTTTCTTGATAACTGCAACAACCAAGATGACACAGCCGACTCAGAAATGTTGAAACGGGTATGAAAGAACCCTCCGGCAACTGCTGTGGCGTCTTACTTCCCGACAACACCCTCAGACTTGACTGCCTCAGGCAGTTCGTCGTCGAGTGCCTTCAGAAATCTCAGACGATGCTGCAAAGGTCGGAAGTGTGAAGTTTGCATGGAGTGGGCCAGTGGCAATTCGCTCTGCAGCTCTTGTAACCATTGATCAAGGGTGATCTGACGCCTGGCGAGTCCTCATGTAAGACTATGTAGTTAGTTCCCCTGATATTCTGTTCGCCTCGGCTTGTGTCGGTTCAGTAAGTCTAACCGGTCAGGCTTTAACTGAAGCCCTGGAAATCTTTGCATTGCATGGCCCAGACTTAAGAGACAGCATCCGTTGGACAAAAACACATCTTGCGCCGTGCAGCATGACCGACGAGATCTCAGTTTCATCAGATGGTTAAGGCGATTGTTGATTCCAAAGGCGGTGCCGGGACGGTCCCAAAAGGTCCCGTTGCTTGCCTCGTGCTGTTGAGGAACACCAGGCAAAGGCATGTGAGGAACAACTCGGGATCGCACTGGGAGGCTTCCCAGATGCCTTCGAGTCGAGTAGTGTGCCGAGTCCGCCTCGCTTCGCAAAGTTTTATGTACCCTTTTTTACAATCCGTGAGACACGTGGGATCTCATTGAGATCTACAGCAAGGCTTACCCTAACCTGCTTTGGGTGTTGAATATACACCCAAACGGTAAGTTTGTAAGCCGCTTACAATAATCAGGCTGCTTTCGGGGCTTCAAGCGAGCGCTGAGACCCCCAATTCCCTTCCGATGCAAAGCGGTCGATACCATTGGGTCTGCAGGCTGCCAAGGCAGCTTGGAACGCTGTCAAGGAGAACCCGGCAGTCACCAAGGACAAGGTTTTTTTTTAATGGCACAACATGCCTCCAAACTAGCTTGAAGCGACGGCGTGCATCCGTGCAAGAAACCTGTGTTGTCGAGTTGGCAGCTGTATTCTTTGCTACATGTGAATGTGAACCGATCGAAGGACAGCTTCTGGCAGATGGTTTGTGAATCAAGCGGTCTGGACCCGTCTTCTGCGAAAGAAGCTGTGGCATGAACGGGCTTGCGAGTTGCAGGGGGCGACCGCGGCACACTTTCTGAGGAAGTGGACGCTATCCCATTGTTCAGCCATTCTGCATCGCTTAGATTCGTCGTTCAAGTTCAAGTGATGTGAGTTTGCCGCAAAGGAAGCTGATGCTGACATATGTGGCACCCTGCGAAGATCCACGGCTGCAGCAAATACTACAGTGTGTGCTTTGTTGCCAGGCTTGTCTTCGCGCAGTTCAAGTTTGCAAGATTGGCAGTTGAGTGCTTCATAGTGCACCAAACACTCAGAATTCTCCCAAGACCTCGGTTGTTTCGCTAGGTCATTATTCTGAGACGTTGGAGGTGTTGAAGATTGCCCGCGATGAGGGCATCGTGCTCGGTGTCATTTCGAACCACTTAGGTTTCTGGTTTCATGAGGACGGAGTGGAGTGCCAAAAGGGTTCGCTGGAGTTCGTTTGGGATTTATCGTTTCGTTTGCTTTGAGCTCCTTTTGAGGAGTGCGCGGCTCCTTGTGGGCTGCGAGACCTAGTCGCACCAGAGCTGCTCCTGGTCAGCTCCGAGGCGGAGATGCGGAGTAAGGCTTAAGGCCTGAAGCTGTCTCCTCTGCGAAGTGCAGGTGGGCTGCTCCAAGCCTGGCAATCGGATCTTTGAGCTTTTCCTGGAGCGATTGCAAACACAGCATCCAGGTTTCATGGTCTTTCGCCGTAGTTGATCGTAGATGTCCGTTTCTCGCACTCTGTGCAGGGTTGACAGCAGCTGATTGTATCTTCGTGGACGACAAGGACTTCCGGGCAAGAATCCTTGGTGCTGTGTGTCTTGGGCGTGTCTTCCGAGGTGGAGAACGTGACGGCCGCCCGGGCCCTGGGCTTCCAGGGCCTTTGCTTCAATGCCAAAACGGCCGCACCTGGAGCCCTGGCAGAGGCACCTTCAGAGCTTCAGAGTCAGAATTCAGAGGCATCTGGATGCCAAAGCCGACGGCTAGAGCACTGTCTAGAGTCTAGAGAAAAATACTGTCCGGCTCCATTCTGAAATCCTGCATCAACCAATCATTCCCTTAGGCCTGGAACAAGGTGTCCGATTCTGTGTTTGTTGTGTGAATTGAAACCTCGGTGTATGAAGCATCTTGGCTCTTTCTTGTGTTCTCTGTTTCCGTTTGGACATCGACCATTACCACCTCGCTGCTTCTTGCTCCTTGATCGTCGCATTGACATCATTGTTGGCGAGCTAGCACAGGTAGCAACATTCGCTGATGCCATCGGAGTTGTACACATGTCTGTTGAAGGACTTGAAAAAGGCGGGCGTGCCCTTGCCTTAGTAAGCACACGCCTTGGTTGAGTGAAGCATGGTACCGGGCTTGGACTTCGTGGCAATCGTCGACCCGGTGGGTCTGAGTCTCGGGGAGTGCTAGCAGCGCTAGCAGTTTCTGGACCTCTGCTTGCTGCAAGTAGTTTCACGGCGTTCCACTTCAAGCAGACTCCTGATGCTAGTCGGAGAAGCAGCGCTTGGGGCAGATGACCGCGGCAAGAAAAGTTTGGCGGACGACCAATCTTTGCGTTAGACCACTTCCGCCTAGACCGGCCCTCCTGTCAGGTGTGGGGTCTGGTACCTCTCCAAATGGTCAGGCTGGAGCATCTCGGGAATTCTTTGGTCACGGAAAGATGTGCGGCGAGTGCGAGCATCAGTTTTCATTCCTAAAGCTTGCTTGGCTCCTGCCATCATCTGTTCAAGGATCCGCGAAGCGAACACCCATCGCTGTCCTGCATTCCATGCTTTGCAAACCTTATGCCTTCACGTAATCTTGATCCCAGATGCCATTCCAGAACGCATGGATGACGACCTAGTTCTGGAGAGCTAGCAACTGAAGGTTGTGCAATATCCACATTTCATATCTTATGCGCATTTATGCACCCGGGGCATCGTGCAAGCCTCAGAAATGGTAATTCGATCTGTCGCCGCTATCGACGCATGCCTGCAATGGATGGGCAAGAGGAAGCACCCTTGGTTGTCGGTTGCGCATCAGTTTTTAGTTTTCAATGAGGTATTAAGTCTCCTACAAGAGAGTGTTTGCGAAGAGCACATCGTGCAACTTCCGCTTGGCCAGGGACTTAATACTGTAAGTGGGAGCATGGTTGATGTTCACATTCCAAAACAGCAGCTGTCAAGTTTGAGCTTCACGATTGCTTGCATGATCTACAACGAGCTTTGTGGCTCTCAGGTGGACGGCTTGGCTTTTCCACGCGAGGAGCATCTTCGTTTCGGGTTCGCTTTCTTTATGATGGTGCTGATCCGCGAGAGACGTGGGAGGCAGGGAAGCGAAGCAGCTCCGAGGCGGGGCTGAGTGTCGTGGGCCTCGCAGCTTGCAGGTACAGCCAGAAGAAGCTGATGCTCCTTTTTCTCTGCGAGTCCTCTCGGAGGAGAAGGTTTCCTCGGCTGCACTGTTGCCTCTTATGCCACGTATCACGGCGCATCTGCTCTGCGCAAGATGACGTGATCGGTGTCAGCCGAGGGAGATCGATGACTTTGTTGTACTCTTTGCAGAAGCGAAAGTGCAAAGCAAGCAAGTCGCAAGCATTTTGTGACCGAGGGAATTCATGCTCCCGGCCTTGGTTCGATCGCTGTGAGCAGCGAAGGCGCCGGGCCCACTTCCACTTGAGAGCCTGTCTGAATTGGTGGTGACTTCTTCTCAGACCAGGAAAGCTTCGTCTCCGCGGCCCCAGTGGTGACGTGATCACTGAGTCGCTGCCTCTGGGCCAGCTTAGCTGCGCAGCCCTTGACGGTCGTCCACAGGCACGCAGAGCACCTGCAGCTCGAAGTCGGTCTGATTGGAAAGCAATCACCTCTTCCTGGGATGTTGAGAGCAGGGAGCAATACTCTGCATCATGGGGTTGATCCACACTGCTAGCTCCTACGTAGATCGCTGCGATTGTCATGACTCAGGGTGGTCAGCAGATTGCAGAGCTGCCTGCCGAAGATGCAGGAGCACAGCGTTGTCTCTTTTCCGGCGTTGTGGTATGTTGTCACAGCTGCGCGATGGACACTGTCAGGAGCCTGCTGCCAGAACTGCCGTGCTCGGTCCAACTGCACCGACTGGGCTTTTGACGGCACTAATTGCCGCCCGACTCAGCATCATGATCTGTTAGATGTTGAGAAACTTTCAGGAACTTTGAGTGACACTCCGACTGCTCGCGTCGACTACCGCAGCGGGATTGTGCCAGAATGTGGCAGAAGCAATTTGGGGCAGTCTAAGATGGGCCCCCCAGAGCTCCAATTGCAAAGCAGGCCACAGAACTTAATGTGGGACAGACTTCCCGAAAATGTCTGACCATGCACACCGTGCCAAGGCTAGGAGTGAGGGTCGAGAGGAAGATGTGCTCTGCAGGGACAATAAGTCTCGACAATCCCCATCCAGTAGCCCGAGGAGACGACTTGGGTTGGGAGGCGGTGGCTTGTACTCGACTTCTCGGGGGAGTAGGAGCTGACACCAAAACACTGAGTGAGAAAGGCAGTTAAGGATATTCTAAAGGCCGGATTGACTATCCAAGTTGCAAAAGCACTGCGGCAAATTGAGGCTTCGAACTAAAGTTTATGTTGCCAGGGAGAGGTGTGAACAGGTTGCCTGCTTGCTCATGCCTTCGCAGTACGGCATTGGGGCTAGGCCTATACATTCTCTACGTTGCTCGTCCCAGCCCCAATTTGGGTTTTGTGCAGGGAGCGAACAGGAATGGCGTGTTTCGACTGCACAGCACGGGCCTGTACGTGTCATACTCAATACCCCTGACTAGACATATCTAGACAACCTCAGTGTTCACGCAGCGGAAAGCGAAAAACATCGGAGCACAGTGCCGCACTTGCCTTTTTCATTCCTTGCTGGTGGTAGATTTGGGCTTTGAGCTCCGAGCGCTCCAGTTAGCGTTGATGCCACTGTTATGGGTCTCGGCATCTACGGAGGCTTGATGCAGGCCGAACCTTGGCCGTGCAGGTCGGGGATTATGTCGAGTTGGTCACATGCCAAACCGGCACGCAGCCGACCATCGATGCTCCGGCTTGTGCTACTTGTACGAAGTATCTCCTTGGCCGTACCAGGTGATCAACTGTTATGGTAATCCCGGACCCGGCACGGACGATGCCTGGCGATTCGAATTGCGGTTTTGCAAGAGCTCAGCAATGAGCTGCGCGAGCAGTCGAAGACAGTGCGAAGGTTAGAGTTTCGCACCGACAAGTTCAGAAATCACCCGCTGAAAGACCTTGCAGACTGCGAGATATAGTGGATAAGAGCTGGAAAGTGCAGGATGAGATGGCTTGTCTGGTGGTCGCTTCACACGGAAGGAACCGGCTACTGGATAGTCAGCCCTGGGCTGCTGCCGCCACCGTTCCAAAGAAGGGCAGGACCTTGAAGGAGCGAGACGGCAGAGCAGCCAGTGATGAAGCTACCCCTCGACTATGACCCTGCTTCGGGTAGTCGTACAACAAGCAGGATTCCGGGAACAAACTCTAGTTTGTTTCCCGTCAGCTAAGCAGAACTTGTTGGGGGGGGGCACTTGTGCGTCTTGTGCCTGCAGTGACAATCGTCGCGCCGTGAAGCTAACTTCGTGTGTCTGCGCCCGCCTCGGGTGAAGAGGAACTGGGAAGTAGGGTTACCGCGGTTCGTTTTTCGTTGGCGATGCGGAACTTGTCAGCGGTACTACTGCATGGCAAAATCGGGCAACGCTCTGGGGTTGCTGCTGCAGGCCATGGCCCTAGCTTTAGCCATGGAGCGGAAGGCAACGCCGCTGACCCCTGCATCATGGGACCCTCGTTTCTCCATCTGGCCGCGCGGGACTTGGTTGGGAGGCTCACCCGGCAACGCACACGTCTTGCGGCCATTCCCCCGGGATAACGGGTTTTGGCACACCCGCACCGGGCGAGCATCATGAGCACCCGGCGCGCGCACAGCGGCCCATAAGGCGCAGGCCGATGTTTTCGGAGGTCGGGAGGGGGACCGGCAGACCTCAAATTGGGCACGCGCGCACAATGATGCTGATGATGTTCATCGGAAGGCTGGAAAGGGGGATGCTGATGATGCTGGCCAGCGGGGGCGGCAGGGGGAGCGACCAAGCTGGTAAGGGGGGGGGCGCGCTCGCGCGCCAATGAGTGAGTGAATGATTGAATGATTGAATGAACGAACGATTGAATTATTGTGATTGATGGATTGATTGAATGAATGAATGAATGAATGAAATGAATGAATGAGTGAAGTGAAAAGAATGAATCCATGAATGGATGGATGAATGAAATGATAGAAAGGATGCATGAATGAAATTTAGGGGCTAACAAGAAAGAGTCTGTGGGTAGGGTTCAGAAGTCTAGTCCTAGGGGTCTAGCGGTTTGGGATGGTCGCCCTGAAGCCTGCGTTGCCCGCCTCTGGGCTTTGTCCTTAAATACAGCTTCTACAGCAGCGTTTTGCTCAGAGAAGAGCAGTTTCTTTGCCGCAAGTACATCGCAGTACTGGATGTTTGGTTTCCGTATGGACTTCAAAGTTGCGGTCTTCCCAAAGCAAAACAGACCGAGAGCGAACAAGAACCGCCTGGTATGTTTTCAATTCCTATGCTGTGCTAACTCGTCAAGGAGTGCTGCTTGAATGTTTGGGATGTTTCAGGGATTTTCAGGGTGCTGAAGTGTTTCTGTTTGAGGCAATAGCACATCAAAGCGTTGGACACTGAGGTATTCTCGTGAAAGATGCATCAGGCCTGCGACACGGGTCTATGTAGGTGTGTGGCATCTTGCAATTGACGACAAAGCATTGCTAAGGCATGCTCAAACTCCCAACCATGTCATAGTGACGGTGAAACTGGACTGGCTTGTTTTCTTCTACTGGAGCAGGCTGAGACGCATTTGAGGAGCAGCGGCTTCAAGATATGTCATAGTGTAAAGTCTCTGTACTGCTCTGCTCCGAAGACCGAAGCGGCCGAAGAGCCCCCTTCGAGTGAAAGCTTTCTCGAACGTTGCCAGGGTGGGAGGCTGCTTCTGGTACCACTTGGGGGAGGCATCCGGATCGAGAGGCAAGGTTCTAAGGTTCACCATCTTCACATGCAGCTGACCTGAGGCGTCCAGGTCTCCTTGCATTCAACTCCACATCTGCATCTGTGTTTGGCGGTGGGGCTGGCCCAAAAGTGGCCACTTCACTACAGCGCAGCGGTGCTACTGGTCAGGTTGCATCCTGGATTCGCTATGTGGCTCGATGTGTACTCGTAGATGACAAGGTGAAAGTTCAGTGTCTGCCGGAGATACTTCAGGCAAATCGCGAGACGTTCGTGCCGTATTACTACACAGCAGATGGTTATGCAGCCCTTGGGCACACGGGGGCTACCCGCTTCGACCGTTTGCTGGTCAGGCCAGGGTTTGCTTGGGGCTGCCAATTTGCCTGTTTTGGGCATCTGTAGCTGCCAGGTACCAGGCCACCGGCGATCACCTTGTATGGTTCTTCTCCGGGGACTTCCAAATATATCTTATGCCGGCTCCCTCGCTGCTCGAAGGACCCTTCGGACAAATTCTCTCGTATGGTTTTGTAAGCTTTGCGGCCGGGGGGCACATCTCAGCAGCCGACCGAGGAAGCCGGCACTACTTGTCTTTGATCGGTCGACCA